TTAACCATTGTGCGACACTGCTAGTCTCTTGTTTTGTTTTGTTTTTGTTTTTTGCTTCTTGGGTCACACCTGGCGATACACAGGATTTACTCCTGGCTCTGCACTCAGGAATCACTCCTGGTGGTGCTCGGGGGACCATATGGGATGCTGGGAATTGAACCTGGTTTGGCCGCGTGCAAGGCAAACGCCCTACCTACTGTGCTATCGCTCCAGGCCCACTGCCAGTCCCTTTAAGGTCTATTTTATCTTTGGTTACATGGGCAAACAGCCAAGGAGACAGCTTCTAAAACCTACCTCTGAATAGCTGAGGAATGAATTTGAGTTTGTCTTTTTGGGGGGCTATACCCTGCAGTGCTCAAGGATCACTCCCGGCGGGGATCAAACCTGGGTCAGTTATGGTCCAAACACCAAAACAAACTACTGTAGGACTGGTCCCCTGTGTAGTGCCAGCATCTGCCCTGCAGAGCTCCAGCGGCATCCGAGACCTGCCGAGTAGGGAAACGGAGAGACACTGTGTGGAACAGAAACAGGCCATGTCCACTGAGTGGTGGAGACCAACAGTGCAGCCTGGAGTTGCCCCTGAAGGAGCAAGGACTTGAGTCTGGAAGGGAGTGACTTAGGGGTCACGCTCAGCAGTGCTGGGATGCAACCTGGTACCGGGCGTGGACCCGTATCCATGTGTGTTCAGCTTTTGGGGCTGGAGCAATAGCACAGTGGGTAGGGCATTTTTTGCCTTGTACGCAGCCAACCCGGGTTGTATTCCCAGCATCCCATATGGTTCCCGAGCACCGCCAGGAGTAATTCCTGAGTGCAGAGCCAGGAGTAACCCCTGTGCAACACCAGGTGTAACCCAAAAAGAGAAAAAAAAAATGTGTTCAGCATTAGCACAGCAGTAGGACGTTTGCCTGGCATGAAGCCAGTCCGGCCGAGCCGGGTTCAATTCCTCTGCCCCTCTCAGAGAGCCCAGCAAGCTACCAAGAGTATCTCGCCTGCATGACAAAACCTGGCAAGCTACCATTCAATGACGTATTCAATATGCCAAACACAGTAACAACAAGTCTCAAAATGGAGACATTACTGGGCCCGCTCAAGCAAATCGATGAACAAGGAGGGGGGGGCAGTGACAGTGACAGCATTTCCTCCAATACTTGAGCCACGCCCCTGGGGCAGGGAGTAGGGGGTAGGAGGTAGCCCAAGGGCCTGGGGCCACTCCTAGCAATACATGATTGTCAGTCTACTCAATCTGATAGTTCAGTGCCCAGGGAGGCTGTCCTGCACAGGCCCAGCAGGTCAGCAGCGACACCCTCAGCAGTGCTGGTCCTGTGGTTCCTGGAGATCAAACCTGGACCTGTACCCCTGAACCCTGAGATATCTCCCCCTGAGTCCCCATTCAACACCACCACCACCCACAACACACACACATTCACTTTCATTTTGCAGTGCCAGAGGTTAAACCCAGGTCTCAAGTTTACAAGATAGGTGCCTTCCATTTCAGCCACATTCCTGGCATCATATTCACTCTTGGAGAGGAACTACACCTAGTGGTGCTCAAGGAATCATGTAATATGGGCAATTAGGCTTCCAGCATGCAAAGCATTGCACACAGCTCTTCGAGCTCTTCTCTGGCCCCCATATTAATCTTTTTGGGGGATACCTGGCCCCACCCAACAATGCTTCTGGGGATGCTCAGGGAATCATACAATGCAGAGATCAGATCACAGTCAGCTGCATGCAAGGCACATACCTTACCCCTGCACGATCTCTTCAGTCCTTTATATTTACTTTTTTTTATTTTGGCGGGGGGACATACCCAGTGGTACTCAGGGCTTACTCCTGGCTCTGCACTCAGGATCACTGCTGGTGGTCTCGGGGGACCATAATGGGGTGCTGGGGATCAAACAAACCCAGGTTAACCACATGCAAAAAGAAATGTCCTTCCCATTGTGCTACCATTCCAAATTCACTTTTTTTTTTTTTTTTTGCCACACTCAGTACTGCTCAGAAGTTTACCCCTGGATCTGTGCTCAGGGATCACTCCTGGCATGCTCAGGGGACCATATGGATGTAGAGGACTGAGCCCAAATGCCCTACTCATGACACTATCTCTCCAGCCTCATTTTTAATGGCAAGGGCTCTGCAGAATTCTCTGGGTGAATGTGCATGACGCTCCAGCCCTCTCTTCAGCATGAGAAGGCTGAGGCCCCGAAGGGAGTGGAGGGAGAGATAGTCGCCCAAGCTGACCCAGGACCTGTCCTGTGGCCAAAGCAAAACAAGAGCTGCGGCTCCAACTCCTCATTCCACTGGATTTGGCTCGCCTGAGCCGGTCTCGCCTCAAACCTCCTCCTGACCCCACGCCTATGTGCTGAGCAATGAACACAGAAAAATCCACTGGATTGTGTGTGTCCTGGGCTCTCACTGCTGCAATTCAGGAGGGAAGCTCGAAGACCAAAGGGGGTGGGGGGAAACACTAAAAAAGACCAGTCCTGGGGCTGGAGTGATAGCACAGCGGGTAGGGCTCTTGCCTTGCACGCAGCCGATCCGGGTTCAGTTCCCAGCATCCCATATGGTCCCCCAAGCAACACCAGGAGTAATTCCTGAGTGAAGAGCCAGGAGTAACCCCTGTGCGTCGCCGGGTGTGACCCAAAAAGCAAAAAAAAAAAAAAAAAAATCAGTCCTCTGCCATAATGCCACATTCTGACTAGGAGAAAAGAGAAAGATTATATATAGACAAAGTAAAGCAGGACATGCTTGGAGAGGTGCAGAGTGTACAGTGGGGGGAGTTGAAAGGTGGCAGGGGTTGGGGTACATTGTGTGTGTTTAGGGGCATCTGGAGGTAGGCAGAGGAGAGGCAGGCAGGGATCAGGTTACAGCAAAGAGTCGGAGAGCAAACCGGCCGGAATTGACCAGGGCTGCAGGAATCTGGCCCTGGTCAGAGATGGTATTGGTGGGTTTTGAGAAAAAAAAAAAAGACATGATTGCTGGTGTTTGCTTGTGATCATTTTAAGGCTACACCAGGTGGGGGCTGAGGGTTCTCTCTTGGCAGGCCTCTGGGGACCTATGTGATACTGGGGATTGCACCCACGTTGCAAGGCAAGCACACTACCCACTGTACCACCACTCCAAACCCTGATCTTGTCCACATTTTAACAGGGTGCTGTATAGGGAACTGACTCAACAGAGACAAGGATAAAAAATTAAAGAGAGTGTTGAGGAGATGCCCACCACAGCCTACGGGGGGAGGGGGGGGCACGGGGATGTGAACGCAAAGCATCAAGATCCACCCCAACATTCTTTGTTTGGGGACCACGTGTGGTGGTGGCTCAGGGGTCACTCCTGACTGAGCTCCAGGCGCTCTCTGTGGTGCCAGGATGAACCCAGGTCTATCACATGCAAGGCAAGCACTTTACATGCTGTGCTATCATTTGCGGGGGGGGGGGGGGAACAGGGGGGATCTGCAACATTTTTTTTTCTTTTTGGGTCATACCTGGCGATGCTCAGGGGTTACTCCTGGCTCTGCACTCAGAAATTACTCCTGGCGGTGCTTGGGGAACCATACAGGGTGCTGGGGATCAAACCCGGGTCAGCTGTATGCAAGGCAAACTCCCTACCCAATGTACTATCACTAGGGCCCACCCCAGCATTTCTGATCCAAGTAACAAGAAGGCTGAAGCTGCTAGAAGCTGAGCTGGGAGAGACGGTGGGAGGAGTGTGTCTGGGGACAGTTAACTTCCATGTGCCACTGGCCAGTGCAGTGTTTAGCAAGCAGCTGGATCAACAAGGCTGAGCTTCCAGAGAGATGTCCAGGCCTAAGCATACATTCGGGCATCTTCAGCATAAAGGTATCATTTAAAGCCTGGATGAGGGGCTGGAGAGATAGCACAGTGGGGTAGGGCGTTTGCCTTGCACGCGGCCGACCCCGGTTCGATTCCCAGCATCCCATATGGTCCTCTGAGCACCGCCAGGAGTAACTCCTGAGTGCAGAGCCAGGAGTAAGCCCTGTGCATCGCTGGGTGTGACCCAAAAAGAAAAATAAATAAAGAAATAAATAAAGCCTGGATGAAACAATATCACTAAGAGAAACGAGTGGGAGAAATTATCAGTTTAGAGAGAGAGCACAGTGGATAGGGTGATGCCTTTGACCACATTTGGTCAGTCAGGGCCCCACCAGGATTGATCTCTGAGCACAGAGCCAGGAATAAGTCCTGAATACACCCCAGGATAGCCCAAAAGGCAAAAATAAATAAATGAATAAGTAATAATAAGAAGGTAAGACTGTGGGGAGGCTCAGCTCAGGCCCATTAGCTTCACGAATAAGCACCAGGTCCTCTTAAGACGGTGAAGTCCGGGGGAATAGAGAGGATCAGAGAGGGGATACCCACCAGACCCGGGCCACTCGGTAAAGTGGCCTCTTGGTCTTAAACGGGACCTGGAAAAGATCACCCAGTCTGTCCCCAGCTCGCGGGGACAGTGCCCTGGCTTGAGCACCCGACCTCTTTGGGGGACCCTGGAGCGAGCCGTGGAGCAGGCTGGAGGGAAAGCACCGTTGAGGTGGAACCCAGGGCTCGCTCAGGCGCGTCCCGAGGCCGGTCACTTGTGACCTGTCGTTTCCCGACCGTGCTCGTCCCTCCCAGCGCTGCCCAGTGGCCGTGGCCGGCGTGGAGTGGACGCCCCGCTCGGCCGAGAAAGGGAAGGAGCCCGGCGACGTCCAGGGGGGCGGGGGCTACGCCGAGGGGCGCGGGCCCGCCCGTGGTCCGTGACGCTGACCGGGGCTCGGGCGTCCGGCGGGGGCCGAGTGGGAGCGGGGGGCTCGGGGGCGCCTCGAGCCCCGAGTCCGCGCGCGGGCCGCCCCGGATGGCGAGGCCGTAGGGCGGCCCCCGGCGGCCCCGCGGCCCGCGTCCCCCCGCGCGGCCGGGCCCCCGAGGCCGCGCCCCCGCCCGCGCGCCGCGCCTCCCGGGCCGCTGACGCCCCGCGCGCCCTCCCGTGGCGGCGGCGGCCGGGCGCGGGCAGCAGCGGCGGCGGCGGCGGCGGCGCGGGCCCATGGCGCGGGGGGCCGCGGGCCGCGGGGCCGGGCTCCTGGCGCTGACCTTGTGGCTGCTGGCGGCGCGCGGTAAGGGCGGTCCGGGGCCCGCGGGGTGTGTGTGCGTGTGTGTCTGTGTGTCTGTGTGGTGTGTGTGCGTGTGTCCCGGCGTGCACGTGTGTGTGTGTGTGTGCGCGCGTGTGTGTGCGTGTGTGTGTGCGTGTGCGCGCGCGCGCGTGTGCCGGCGCGGGGCCGAGCCAGTGCGGGGCCGGCGTCCGCGGGGAGCGCCCTTGCCCCCGTGGCGGGGGACGGGGCAGGACGTGGCCGGGCCCCCCGAGGGGGCTTCCGAAGCCCTCCGCTGGGCCCGGTGGGTGTGGTCCCCGGCCGGGGCGTGCGTGTGCGCGCGCGCGTGTGTGCGCACGGCGCTGGGGGCTCCCCCAACGGCCAGAGACCCCCCCACCCCCTCCGTGGCCAGGAAACCAGTTGCTTTCGTGGAAGTGTCCAGCGCTCGCTCTCGGGGTGGACGCGTGTCACTCCGGGCCCACCGCCTCCCCCACCCCCGGGCGTGAGGGACTGACTTCGGGGGAGTGCGAACGGGGGAGGGGGGAATCAGCGCGGCCTCTGCAGCCCCCCACTTCCCCGCGCGGGGTGGGGTGGGGTTGGTGGTGGGGTCAGCGCGCGCGCGCGCCGGAGAAGGGCCCGAGTCCGGGCCGGACGGCCGCGGCTTCCTCCCGCAGCTCCGCGGGCCGCGCGCGGGTCGGGTCGGGGCGGCCGCGGGGAGCGAGGTGGCAGGGCCGGCGCGGGGGATGGGCCGCCGGCTTTGTTCGCCCGGTTCTCCGCTTCCCCGCAGAGGGGGGCCGAAGATGTGTCCGGGGCGAATCCGGGAGGGACTTGGGGGTGGGGGTGGGGAGGGGGTTTCTCTCCAGCTGCTGCGGCTTTGCAGAGTCTGCCAGGCCACGTGGGAGGGAGGCCGGGACTGAAGGGAAGGGGTGGAGCGGGGGGGGGGGGGGGGGGGATTGCGGGAGGCTCCGCGGGGCGAGCCCCAGACCCTTCTCCTGCAAACCCCAACTGCAGGTGGGAAAGTGGGGTCTGCCCACACCCCCTTCCCTCTCGACAGAGACATTCTCCTAGCGGGCAGGGACTGGGGGCGGTGGGGGAGGGGTTGTCAGGTGGCACTGGCAGCGGGGGTGCCAGCGGGGTCTGTCCTGGCGCCCAGAACTGAAGGAACAGCCGTGCCCAGGCGCTGTGCTCTCCCAAGGCTCCAGGGAGGAGGTTTGCTCGTCCAGCCAGCGGGCATGGAGGCCCATGGCTGTGGGCGCAGATGTGAGGGGTCCGTGGCTCCGTGTCCCCAGTGCCAGCAGGCATAAGGGATGGCGGGAGGGGCTCCCTGGGCTGCAGTGGGCACCGGACACAGTATGTGCCATACAGACGGGCAATTGCAAACCTCCTGAAAGTGTAGCAGGGCTGGGGACGCTTGGACTTAGCAGCCTCCCCTAGACCAAGGTCATTCATTCATTCATTTAACAAATTAAGGTAACTTGTACAGGTGTCCACCTAACCCCTGCAACAAAGATTTCAGGACAGGGGAGAGACTCACGGGGCTTGCCTAGGACTGCTCCACGGAGCCCCTAGGAGGGTTCCTTCAGGACCTGTGATCTGGAGAACTGAGTGCAGGGCATAGAGGGAGGATTGGGACACAGCACTTGCAGACTTGTGGCCCACCAAGTGGCAGTCTAGCTGGAGTAGCAGGCACTAGAAGTGAGGTTGGGGCAGGGACAGAGAAAAGGTCCAAGCCAGGACCAGACCCGGCTCTTGAAGGGCCTCAAGACTCCACTGGGTTCGGGCATGAATCCTCGGGTGGGGGGTTTTGTTGTTGTTGTTTTGGGGGGTAAGGGAACACACCCAGCAGTGCTCAGGACTCCTGGCTCTATGCTCAGGGATCATTCCTGGCTGTGCTCAGGAGACCACATGGGGTGCCGGGGATTGAACCCAAGTCATGCAAGGCAAGCAAGCGCCCTCCCTGCTGTACTATGGCTCTTGCCAAGCTCTCAGTTGGATTTTAAGATTGACTTCGCAGTAGCTGGTTGGCACCAGAATGGACAGTGGAGGGGCTGGAGCAGTAGCACAGCGGGTAGGGTGTTTGCCTTGCATGCGGCCGACCCGGGTTCAATTCCCAGCATCCCATATGGTTCCCTGAGCACCGCCAGGGGTAATTCCTGAGTGTAGAGCCAGGAGTAACCCCTGTGCATTGCCGGGTGTGACCCAAAAAGAAAAAAGAAAAAACAGAATGGGCAGAACAGGACCCAGACCCCAAGTTCCTGCTTCTCTGGAGGCTGTGGGAATAGTGCAGAAGGGGGGGCATCTGGAATAGTGGGGTGAAGGGGAAGCTGGATTCTGTGGCTAAATGATTAGAGACTAGACTCAGTCGGACTGGAGGGTGATGGGTTTGTATGAGCTGAGAGTTGGCGGATACTGTAGACGCTTTATGACCTCAGTATGGTGGAATGGGGTGGGGGGGGTTGTTGGGGTCCAACTGTTGCATCCACATCTGTTCAAGCCTGGGGTTGAGAGCTGGGAAGATATTTCTTAGGAACAGTTCTTCTATCTTTGGGGGTAATAGAATGGCTTGGATTGTGTTTATTACATGCAAGAAATGGGGCTCTCTTTCCATGCAGTCGGAATATGGCAGAGTGGGAGCTGGAGACTCTGAGAACATGGGGTTCCTCATCTAGGAACAACCCCACCCAGTCTGCAGTGTGGGTGTGGGGTGCCCCTTTTGTACCCTAGTTGGAGGTTAGGAACAAGGTAGAGCACAGGCCTCTAGGCAATGAATCTTTGGTGGGGATCAACCAAGATTCTCAGGATCCCCCTTGAGGGTCCCCCTGGTCCCCCAGGGATGCTCAGCTGCCAGGCTGGAAGGCCAACATCCCAGACTGGAGGATGCAGAGCAGGGCCTTCCTGGGCACTCGGGTCCTTCAGGGCTACTTGGAGGACACTAGGGGGTGGGGGGTTGGGGATTGACCTGAAACCCCTGCCCATTCTCTCTGATCCCTTAATAGTGAATCTTACCCAGGAGTTACCTGCAGTTAGTACTGTCATGGTAATCACACACATGGCGGAAGGTGAACTTCAGCCTGTCCTAACTGGGTCTTTCAAGTTCACAATCTCACAATTAGGGAAAGTTTCCCATCGTCCAATGTCAGGGACCCCAGATGTAACTTCAGCTTGAGCCCATTTCACAGATGAGACAACCCAACCATTTCCCAGGAATTAAGCAGGAGTAGAGACCGCTCTCCTTGCTCCAAGAGTGACCACACTTGGGGCTGGAGCAATAGCACAGCAGGTAGGGTGTTTGCCTTGCAAGCGGCCAACCCGGGTTTGATTCCCAGCATACCATCTGGTTCCTTGAGCACCGCCAGGAGTAATTCCTGAGTGCAGAGCCAGGAGTAACCCCTGTGCACAGCCGGGTGTGACCCAAAATGGAAAATAAAAAAAAAAAAAAGAGTGACCACACTTACCAAGTTCCCTCATGCGAGGCTGAAAATCAGGGTGCCCTCACATGAGAAATGATGACTTTTGACTCTCCAGTGCCATCTGGGTTCTGGAATCTTCTCCTACCCCCTGACCCACCCGCTGCCTCTAGTTTGGCCCCCACTGTTTCTGGGGTAGCCAGAATACCCAGAGTTTCAGACGCAGAAGAAATGTCACCGCCACATGGACCTCCCTAGGTCCTCCTAGATCCCCCCACAACATTCTCAGGGGTAGAACCCCTCCCCAGGCCAACCAGAGGGGTAATGGAGCCAAGGGGTGGGTGAGGCCAGTCCAGAGCCGCAGTATGGGGCTGACAGGCCGGGAGGGTGACCTTTCTCTCCCTGTCCACCCAAGGCGTGGCAGGGTCTGAGTTTGGGGTCTTTGGGCTCAGGAGCTGAGGTTCCATCAGCTCTCACACGGGCCGGTCAAAGCTGTGTGGGGCTTCCCTAGGACTTGCTGCCTTGTATTGGGGTCCACGACCGGCCTCACACCATCCACGGGCACCTCTTAACGGTTTCACGCCCTCTTTAAGTGATGAGTGATTAAGGACAGAACTTGTGGGGACCAGGAGACAAGTTCACACAGGAGAAACGTGTGTCCCTCTCTGTGCCCTGACACCTATTGGTGCTGGGACCAGGCACCCTCCACACAGAGCCTGGGCTCCTGGGCACTGAGCACCAATCTGGGCCACACCTGGTGGTGCTCAGGGCTTCCTGCTGGCTCTGCACTCAGCGACTACTCCTGGCAGGGCTCAGGGGATCATAGGCGACATATAGTGCTGGAGATCCAACCAGGGTTGGCTGAGAGCAAGGCAAGTGCCTTCCCTGCTGTTTGATTTCTCCAGCCCAGGGACGATTCATTGATTTATTGATTTTCACTCACCTGAGCAGGAGCAACTGTAACTCATGAGTTCCCTGCCCTGGTAGTGTTTTTAGCACAGAGTTTTGTTTTTTTTTTTTTTTTGTGAGTTTGTGATTCTGTTTCTGTACCTTATTAGCATTTTAGCAGGTATCTACTAGGTGCGATTATAGTATACTAACCACTTTCCAGGTAGAGTATTCACGTCATGCCCATATAAAAGAAACTAATACAATTTCTACAGATGAGAAAATTGAGGCTTAGAAATACATGGCTGGATCAGGGGGTAGGGTGTGGGGTGGTGGCACAGTGGGAAGGGCGTTTGCCTTGCACACAGTCAATCTGGGTTCAAGCCCCATCTAATCCCTCAAGCATCACCAGGAGGGAGACCTGAGTGCATCGCCAGGTATGGTACCAAAACAAAACAAAAAAAAAAAGGAAAAAAAAGAAAAGCATAGTGTGGGAGGCAGGGATAGAATAGGAAGGACCACAAGGCTCTTGCCTTTCACGTGGGCCCACCCCAGTCGAACCTGAACATCGCCAGCCACCGCCAGGCAAGACCCAAGCCCATCGACTCCAAAAAAACATAGTGGGTTTGGTGTATTGTCTTTCAGGGCATGCTTCTGTGTCACTGCTCATCTGGTCCAGGAATATATTTATGAAGCACCCACTATGTGCCAGGCCTTATGGGGTCCTGAGTA